ACGAGAGCGCGGCAGAGAGGAAAGTGAGTGAAGAGAATAGTTAGTGATACAGGGAGAGAAGCGGAGAGTGAACAGGCGTGTTAGCGGCAGACAGGGAGAGACAAATAATTACACATGGTGCTCTCCAAGAAGAGGAAAGTGGACAGAGAACAGAGCTTTTAACCCTGAGTGGACGGACTCATTCATGTTCATCCTGCCACTGGGAGCACAGAACCAGTGTGTCTCATTTGTTCAGAGACCATGGTGCTCATTGAAAATGCCACTATGAAACAAACCACAAAGTGTTTGACCAAACATTCCCTCTCAAGTCAGAACTGAGGTCACAACAGTCTCAGAGCCCAATATGATCAGTCCACCAGGATCAAAATTAAAACTAAATATCGTTCCAGCGCAGGCTAACCGAGGCTAACCAATGAGCACCTGCATGTGTGTATGAGAATGGCCCTGACACCATTTACAAACTCCTGGCAGGACAAGCTCCAGCTCAATTCTCGCACTGAATACAAAAAAGTGAGTGAGGGACTGCAATATAAGACGGAAAGAAAGAGAAACTTTAAAACTGTTAAATTGTTATGATGTGTAAAGACTGATATTGTTCTATAATCGTCTGAAACTGTTAAGTCATGATGTGAAACGGTTAACAAAGAAAAAGGGAAACTCAAGTTGCTGCTACACTTTATCTAAAATTAAGCACTTTTAAGATGCACACATTTTCAAAAGCTATTTTATTTATTTTCTCTATTTTATTTTTAAATGCAGCCCGAGAGGAACATTACACATATCCACAGTATTTACTGTATATCTGTAGAGTTCAATGTTAATTGACAATATATATTGTTTATGAATTGTACTTTATTTATTTGATTGGCAGTCAGTTGTTGATTACATGCAGATGTTGATGCAGGCTACTTCAATATATATCACACTAATTCATAAAGCAAGTTAGACATTTTGATGTTCCGGACCTTTGCATGGGGAGATTTTCTCTAACTGGACCTCGTTGAATTTTAGTTGAATACCCCTGCCTTACATTAATGATTTCAGACAAACAAACTCATACATTAACAATGTGTCTTTCCAGCTCCAAGCTGAGCTCCTGCATCTAGAGGTGCTGAAAATGCAGAGCATGAAATCTTTTATTGTGGCCATCAGAGGGGAGATCGCCCTTCTCTGGGAGAAATGCTTCTACAGCCAAGAACAGCAGCAAGCCTTTTTTTCATATCATGATGGTAACTATCTGCTGTTTTCTAACAAAGCCTGTACACCTAATGTATATGCTGTTGATCATCACAAAGGAAATGTGGGTCTAAGTGCACGTTCTCTCTACCCAGATGACTTTTCAGAAGACATCCTCCTCCTGCACGAGGCAGAGGTCAGCACGCTGAAGAAGTATTACCAGGACCACCAAGAACTCTTTGAGGGAGTCATGAAATGGCAGGAGAACTGGACCCTGTACTTGGAACTTGACGTGAGTACTATTTTTGAATATAGTATGGCAGCATTTAAAACAGACTTTTCTAGGTGGTTACATGTAAGGATGTATGTGCTTCTCTCCCTCTCAGAAAAAGGCCAACGACCCTGCAAGATTCAACAACAGAGGTGGGAACCTTCTGAAAGAAGAGAAGCAGAGGGCTGACCTGCAGAAGAGCTTGCCTAAGGTTAGGAAGTGTTTAATTGTATACTTTGCTCAGTAATTATAGAGCAGGATTAGTAATTAACTGTTTTAAACTAATCAAAAAGCTGTTGGTAGGGATTCAAAACAACATTGGATAAACTAGCAATAAAACAAATGAGCTCAAGCTTACCACACGTTTGGAGGCGTGTGGTGCAGTGGGTTGTGCGTTGGTGTTCAAACCCCACTGCAGTCAGCATGTCGTTGTGTCCCTGGGCAAGACACTTCACAAACTGACTTTTTTTGACATGGAAATAATTTTTTAAGATTGACAAACATCATATGTGTAATTCGTGGCACAATTCAAACGGGATCGAAAGATACGTTTTCTCTCCCCATTGACTTCAATACATACTTTTTCCGAAATAAGGTCCCATGGGTCGGAAGTAGATGGGCGGGACTTCGCCACTCTATAGAAAATGAGAATATGGAAAAATATTTGCATTGACAGACTATTGGCTCTATGGTTTTCTTTTAAATATAAATAAAAAATTATAGATTCCACAAGCAAGCTGTTTTTCATTAAGTTTGTGGAATTAAGCAAAGCCAACATTACAACCCGTGTGTGAGAGAGCCAGGGCCAAGGGAAGCATGATTATCAAAAGTGAGGAACATGTATAGTAGAATGAGACAACTGCAAAAGTAAACATAACATGTCAACAAGGTCAAATGGTAGTTTCCTGTTTGTTTCAGTTGGAAAAGAGTCTTAAAGCCCAGATTGATGCTTGGGAGCAGGAGCACGAAAAGGAGTTCCTGGTCAATGGACAGAAATTCCTCGAGTATGTGCAGCAGCAGTGGGATCACCACCACGCTGAAAAGGAGAGGGAGAAACTGGAGAGGGTGTGTTTTATCTTTGATTTAAAAGGCTAAATCAAGTCTTACATTTCTTTGTCAAAGGGATTTTATATGACTATATTCTTCTTTTTTGTTTAAATTAGCAAATGAAGAAAATCAAACAGATACAGGAAGACATGTTGTATGGAACTACAATGAAAACACCAACCAAAAGGCCGATGGGAGGGACTCTCACACCTGGAAAAGTGAGAAAGGTAAGATGGTGCTGCAATTTTATTTTCATTTATTTCATCAACTGACTATACCTCAGTGACTGAATAGATTTGAAGGTTCACCCGGCCTTTTTCCTTCTGTCTTTTAGCTCAATGGCATCTCCACCATGTCCACTCCTAACAGCTTCCTCAGTGGAACGTTCCAGTCGTCCAGCTCCAAACCCCCTCTGTCAGCCAGCAAGGTAAGCCCCCTGTCTCTCTGACCCCTCACTGACCACATTCACCATACATTTGAGAGCCTGTTGGATTTTGGATTAATTAGCAGGCTGCAATATTGTCTCTGTTTTCTTTTACCTGCATATGTATGTCAGGGCATTTAAGCACCACACGATGTATTTTTGTATCTCACGTTTTGTCCTTACTGATCAACACCTAAGTATAATACGTTTCAAGTATGCTGCAGACCATGACATGGAGATGGAGAGAGAAACAATGGGCTAGAAGTGAGCCCAATTGTAATAAGAGGAGGCTCATGTCATATTTTATTCTACTAAATACTGTGTGAAGCAATCGTTTTTATTTTATAGTACACATGTTCTGTTTCACCTCTGTATGGTCATATCGTTTGGTCAAATGAAAGGGTTGGTGAGAAAGCACATTTTGATTGAAGCTGCTCTTGTTGCAGTTATCCGTCCTGCGAACCCTTGGACCTCCAAGGACTCCCCGGAGTGCACTAGACCGAAACAAGGAGAACATCTCTCATCTTCGAAACACTCCAGGAAGCACACCAAGGTCTCAGGATACTCAAGAAAACACCATCATTGCTGGCTCCTATTCCGACTTTACGGTATATACATTTTTATATCGATTTAGTGAATCCCTTAACCCAAAACTCCACTTAAGTACTCTAGTGAAGGAAATGACTGCATTACCCTAGATCAGTACTATGGCTACATTCCATTTGAACTAGGGCTGCACGATATTGGAAAAAACTGACATTGCGATATTTTCTTCCCCTGCGATATAAAAAAATACAGGAATTGAAGAATTTTTTTGTCTGCAAACCATCCTTTCTTGAACTTTAATGCTATACAATTGGTATTTTTTAATCTATTTAACCGGATGAAGGATTTTAGTCACTGACTTCTGGATCTTAAGTTATCAGAGCAACAAGCTGAGCTAGCTCGGTGATCCTGCTGTGATCTGATTAAGAATGGTTGTGATTGGTGGTTTGCTGTGCATGCAGAGCCTGCATGTCACTCAAGTATCCCTGACATGAGAGCCGCGCAAGTTTTCCTTTTGTAGCAAGCAGCAAAATAATTGTAACATGACGTGTTTGAGTTACTTTGCCTACTTAATATCGCACGTCCTAAAAAATAAATAAATAAATCGCACATTCTGCGATGTCAATATCGCGCATAATGTGATTATCGTCATGGCACGATATATCGTGCAGTCCTAATTTGAATGCTTAAGAAGTTATCCTCTGCCGTATGGCATCACTGTCAAGTCCTACAAAATGACCTAATGCATGTCTTACGGAAGAGTTGTCTCTTTGTATATACTTGTACCGGATCATGTCATTTTGGATGTACATTAACCATTTTGGTCATCATCAAATGCATCATCTAAAAGGCAATCACATGTACTCTTAAGACTGCATAATGTTTGGAAACTGATATAGACAATCCGTATATCCCTAAAAATACACATCGCAGTATATTTTCATTATTTTTAAATCATTACAAGATTGTGAACAAATAAATCAACTTCGCTGTAAATCCTTAAAACAGTTCCTGACATCCCATTGGCTCAGTCATTTGTAGCCGAGGCAACAATGACATTTTCCAACATATTTCTTGAAATCTAATTGTTTTCCAAAGTGAATGCATACAGAACATACGTTTATATTACTCTCTATATAATAAGCATTTATATTCCCATGCCACAACAATGAATGCACATACAGACATTTCAACTCCTTCCATATTCAAAAAAACATACTGAAAATGTTTCCTTTTTCTTTCAGAGAGACCTCTCGAAGGCTTCTAACTCTGACATAAAGTTGAACTCGACAGTCAGCCATCAATGAGGATGCTCTCTGGCGCTGCAGATCACCTCTTTACGGCAGTTGGGTGTCATTTTTATAAAGAGGACAGGAGGGAACCTTAATATAAACTTCTTACCAAACATGTAAATATTTCACTCTGTGTGACTGTCATTTCCCTCTGCTTTATGTATTGTTGTGTCCAGCTCGTGGTATTTGTAAGAGGGCTTTTTATCTGACTTTTTTTTCTTTCAGGAGTTACAGCCTTTTTTTAAAGAAATGCTGTTAACCATATCTAGGGCACTACTTTGTGTTAGTACGTTGCAGCTAGCTATTGCACCCTGACTTTATTTCTCCAGCTGGGATGACGGCTAAATCTTCAGTGTTAATTTTTTAATCAACCTGTAAATAAACCTTTCGGATACCACTTATGATCTTTTTAATGTACATTCATGTTTTCATACATACCGGTGTGGTTGAATTGCACAGGTTGTCAGAATGAGTCTGTTGAAGGATCTGTTATGTATTATGCTTTGGGACTACATCAATAAATATTATAGTACATTTCTCAATAATTAATAATACATGCAAACTGGAAATAGGGGGGGGGAATGTTTTGTTTAAGTCATGCGTGTCATGAGTTCCTCCAGAGCCCTCTCTCTGTGATTTTCATGAACAAGCAGCACTTCTTTGATTGCACTTTGCTGGAAGCCCATCTCATTAAACTGAGTCAGAAGGTGCAGGAACGCCGCAGCCTGAAAAGTAAATTATTACAGTTAATACTAATACTTATTAAAGGTTTGCTATTTTTGTTTTGCAATCTTTTTTGTTTGAGCACTGCTGAGTGGGAATCACCTTGCTCTCACAGTTCTGAAACATCTCCAAGGCCTCCTCCACCTGAGCCTCATCGTAACCCAGAGCACACAGGCGCTCACTGGCCACTAGGTATTTTAGGAGCTGTGGATTGCAGAACAGATATTTATAAATCAGAAATCCTTCAAATGTCCCTCAGCGGGGATATTTACAGCTCCAACAGCAAAGGGGGACATTTACAGGGTCACAACAGTACATTACATTACATTGCATTTAGCTGACGCTTTTGTCCAAAGCGACTTACAATAAGTACATTAGTACATAAGTACGGGTTTATTGCTGATAAAAGGCAACAATAAAGAGGTAAACCCAGTAATAAAATAAATTCACATCCGTGGTATAAAAGAAACAAAACATATAAAGGTATTGAAAAAAGTAGTCTGTTATAAACAATAATTTCTAAATAATTAAAGTGTGTATTGCAAATGGCATTGATTATTACACATGAGTGTATCAGCAGGTAATAAAAGAGTATTGCACATAGGGTTGGTTAATAGGCTGATATGCTAGGTCTTGTCAAAGTGCAAAAAAGCACGAGGACACATCTCTATATAATGTTAAAACGTCAACGGGGTTTTTAACCTCTTAAGCCCTGAGCCTGTTTTTCAGGTTTCAGGCTCGAAAATGACACTAACACAACAAAGACTATATCTTCACTTCTAAAAAGGGGTAAATTAATAATCTTTTCTCTCAAAGCAAGGTTACATCTGTGAGTTGGATGTAGAAGTGTCAGAATTTATTTTAAAGTAAATTCAGATGGAACATAGTAAAAACATGTAAATTCTAATGTCCGCCTAAAAAAATTACTTATAGTGAAAAGCCACCCTTGAATGATGGGTTAGTAGACTAAAAGCTTTAGGAATCCAAACTATAACATATAAGTACCCTGTATCAAGATTGATGCAAAATAAGTGAAATTTGACCTTTTTAGAGAGGTTTGGAAAAATAAAGTCCAGGCGGACTCACCTCTGGGTAATTTGGGAACCATCAGTTCCATTTGAACTTTTTCACTGTAAAAATCATTTTATTACTTTGAATTATCACTATAGGTATTCATTCCATCCAAATACAACTGTTGTGAAAAAAATAAAAACATACTCTGTTATCCTCTTAGGCCCCACGGACCCGAAATCGCGTCATTTGCAGGAAACAACGTCTAAGGAACCTTAATATTTAATAAACTATGAATATTGTATATCCATATAACGGGAAAAAACTCATTTAACTGATCTTATTCATTAATTTTTTCAAAAAAAACACACAATGCTAACAGTGAGCCTCTGAATTAGCCCCAAGCGAAAAATGCTAACCTATTACTGCACCGAAAATCACTCCTAGCTCCCTTATTACTTATCCTAGCTGCACATCGAACACATTGTTTATGATCGTAAAGACACAGAATCTAACGGTGCCCACCTCAACCCTGAAAGATACAAACTCGCGACGTTATCAACAAAAACGTACATCAAAACAAGTGGCGCTAGGTACTAACATGCGCTAGGCTAACATGGCTCACCTTCCTCTTTGTCTGGTCTAAACTGGTCTTCAATGGCATTAAAACGATAAAAAAACGATGATGTAGTTAATCCATAGGTTAATATCCAATGTGGCTGTGTCCCCTTTGAAATGTTCTGATAATCTATAAGCAATAAAACTGCAATTCCGTTATCTACTGTCCGCTCTGTGTTCCGTGCGCTCTGGGTCCTGCTTCCTTACGTAGTAAACAATAAGTAAAGTCTGCTGCGTAATGTACTTAAGCTGGCTGGCATTCTTTATACTTTACGCAGGACCATATCTCTGGAACCCATTGGTCGATTTGGGTGATTTACACCTTTTTATTAACCATTACATCCAATAGAATCGATGGGCAGTTCCAAAATCCATGTAAACATTACCATTGCGGACGTAATAGAGAAGCAAACGAAACATATCTGAAAGTACAAGCCTGGACGGCAAAACTTTATACCCAGTATATTGCCATAAATATGATGATGGATTATCAGTACAAATTTCTACGTGACACAAAGACATTGGATTAACCTTGAGCGGTGTTTTTATTCCGTTGAACACAACTTTTGATCACAAATCAAAAAAGGTAAGACGTAATTATTGTAATATTTTTTAAACCGGATGTTGTTTACTCTCTCTTTTCTGGCTGATAGCTCCAGGAATTCGGGGTCCTACAGTGATGACATTACATGTGTGGAATCTGTGGAGTCTCAGCTTTAATCGGTTATCTTGTTTGTGCTGTTACGATAAGTAATAAGGGCATTTCTACCAGGGCCGTATTCACCATATACATTGGGGGGGGGGGGGGGGGGGGGGGGGGGGACATCCCCCCCAATATTCAGATACACTCAAAATGTCCCCCCCAATAAATAGCAAAACATTGTTTTTGATTTTTTAATTAAAATAAAATTGCTATTCTATGACTTCTTTATTTGTATACTTGAAAATCTATATTTTCTGTTATTGTGAACTTCACCAAAATGATATTTCTTTTCATATGTAAATTAGTTCCTTATTTTGTACCCGGTGATGTATTTCGCTGTTGCACGTCTGAGTCCACCTTCAGTTAGCTTGATGCTCCAAGCAGGTCAGTCATGTTTTAATTTGCCCTCCATCAGTTCTGGTATCTTTTCTAGTTATCCCTAAAGTAATCTATATTATTTTATTTCGTAATCGTAATGTTAATGAACCCTCCGGTTTAGCTTCTTTGTGTAAGTAACTTGTAGTTCTGATGTTAAAACCGAACTTTTCAGGAATAGTAGCTAACTAGCTGTGGGCTAGCTGGTTTCAGTTGTTAGCCAGGGTTTGGCGGGCTAGTGTCAGCTATGTGGAAAATGACGGTGTCGTTTTGGATGTAATCCAATAGATATTTATTCATGTGGATTATTTCTATTTTATTTTGTAATTTGTAGGGTGTGGAAAGATTTAAAAACTGTGATGTGTGACTCTATGGAATACCAAAGGTGCCAGAATTAATTAAATAATAAATACTCTACAATTATTATGAAATAGTATTTCATAATCGTCAGAAGCATTTAAAAGACTAATTATTTTTAACGCATGTGTATTTTTTGTCCTCGGCCGCCCCGTAGTTTCAGAGCGCATCGAGTTTAAAATACCATTTACAAGCTGATGCTGACAGCCCCGCTCCTGCCGTCCGCTTGCGGCAGACCACACTTCCACGCTCACCGGCAGGCACCGACTGGCCATTGGGAGGACCGGGAGGGTGTGTGTATGTGTGGCGCGTGCGAGCGAGAGAGAGAGAGACCTTACGTGTATTGTTGTTGTTAGCATCTGGTGCTAGCTAGCTGCGCTAACGGATATAAGGAGCTGTTTCAATGAAAACAGAGGAGCGACATTTCGCCGACAACTGCGCCGAGCACTTGACTTTATGCAGGCAGCCAGACAGTGGGACATTGTACGAAAAAGTCAGCACACTCAGCACGGATAGTGCGCGCAACATGATTGCAGCGTCCAGGCAGCTCCCGTTCGAGCATAATGCCTCCCACACACACACCACACACACAGCACACACCACCACCACACACACACACACACACACACACACACACACACACACACACACACACACACACACACACACACACACACACGACACACACACACACACACACACACACACACACACACACACACACACACCACACACACACACACACCACACACACACACACACACACACACACACACACACACACACACACACACACACTACACACACACACACACACACACCACACACACACACACACACACACACACACACACTTTTTATTTTATTATTGAATGAGAGAGGTTCCAGGTTGAATTGAGGCGAATATTTGTAATGTTCAGAGGTTGTTGTGTTTAATATTCATGAGAATATTTGTCATTGTTCAAATGATAATAAACATTTGCATATAGCCTATTTGTCCACTCATATGTTGATAAGAGTGTTAAAAACTTGAAAAAATATTCCTCTAAGGTACATTTAGAACAGATAAAAAATGTGCGATTAATTTTCGATTAATCGCGATTAACTATGGACAATCATGCGATTAAATATTGTAATCGACTGACAGCCCTAGTTTAATTATCTTATATCCAGCGCTGCTGACCCGTATTCATCACATCAGCAACTGCAGATCGCCGAGGTCAAGCTGTAAGCATAAGCAAGAGGAAGGGTGGCAGTGACATTAGACAGTTTTTTGGGCAGCCTCAAAAAGAAAAAAAACTAAGTTAAAGGGATAGTGGAAATGGAACCTCAAATAGTTTCGTTTTAACTTATATACAAGCATAATTACGTACCAAAACAATCACACCTGATTAAAAAAATATAATAATTGCCTTACGCATGTTAGAAGCACTTTATTGCAGCTTCCCCGAAGTTTTTTAGAAACTAAATGTTCGACTCAGCCAAACCGGAAGTGACGAAAACTCAGGAAGACGATACGATAACGAACTATGGCGTCTATGCAGAATGAACGTGGAAGGGCAAATATACCAGACAAAGAAGAAGGATTGTACGAGGTATCCAGTGATGATAGCGAGTCAGAAACATCCTCTCGGCTTTCCTACGAAAATGTCGTTTTAGGAACTGAATCCGATTCAGTAAGCGACGATGGTGAGAATATTGAGCCAGACGATGGACCATTACGTCCTTATTTGTTCGAGCCCGAGGTGATGGTTCACGGCATGGGCAATGGCGAGGATGACCAGGACCAGGCGCCAGATGATGCACAAATAATCTTGACTGGTAGGTCCCTAAGCATAGCTCACGCATCTTAAGATCACCTGTAGCCTTTACAAATATTAATCATTGTTAACCAGTTAAGCCAGGGTTGCCAACTTTGGGTACCTGGCTGGAGTGAGATTTTGATATCATGGGTTTAATTACACATACGCACAAAATGACTGCTATCGTGTCAGTAGCGGGACCTTAGCATATATACAGGATATATATACAATATATACAAATACACAATATTGGACAAAGACTATAAAGGACACACAGTTTAATTCACTAAAGAAAGTCAAACACATGTTTGTTTCCACTGTTTTATTATGTGCCTGTC